TAGGCATGTAGAACTAATGTTTGACTAATAGCCCTTTACATAAATATAAGCATAGCCAGTTGGATAGATGCGGTAGCATCTTACCCTGGCTTTTTACAGGGCATGTACACTGTTCTGTAAATAAATATTATCAAATCAAATCAAATCTCTCTCTCTCTGCTCTCTCTCTCTCTCTCTCTCTCTCTCTCTCTCTCTCTCTCTCTCTCTCTCTCTCTCTCTCTCTCTCTCTCTCTCTCTCTCTCTCTCTCTCTCTCTCTCTCTCTCTCTCTCTCTCTCTCTCTCTCTCTCTCTCTCTCTCTGCATATACATATATACATACATATACATATATACACACACACACACATATATATACATTTACGTATATACGTAAATGTCTGTGTTTGTGTGTGTGGAGCGGGCACACACACACTCACACACACACAGCATATATACATATATATATATATATATATATATACGCACACACACACATATACATACACATATATATAGCACACACCACAGCACACACACACACACACACATATATATTAATTTATTATCAATTATATTATTACAATTAACAATTATTACTATTAATACTTTTATTATTTTTTTATTAATATTTATTATTATTTTTATTATTTTATTATTTATTATTTATTATCATTATCATTATCAATCATTATTATTATTATCTATTATTATTATCATTATCATGTCCTCATTATCATTATTATTGTCGTTATTATTATTATTATTATTATTATTATAGTAGCAATAATTATTCCGTGAAAATTCCTCTTGCCTTTCGCCTCCATTCTCTCCCTTTTCATTTCTCTCCATCTTCCTTTCCCTTCCCCGCGCTGCCACCCAATCTCACTTGCAAATCTTAATTAAATTCACTCCCCAATTCCCTCCTTAAGCCTTCTATCTGCTCCGTTCCACTGCATTGCTCACCTGTGTCGCTCCCTTATCCTCTCCCCTCCCTCACATACCCCCTTTATTTTCTTTTTTTCCCCACCTTCCTCTCCTCCGTCAGCTCCTTTAACCTCCCGTGTACCTTCTACCTGTTTCTTCTCCTTTCTTTCCCTTGCCCCTTATATCTTGCTTTTTAAGCTTCTCCCTCGGAAAGTCATATTCATAATAAATGTGCATAACATGATGCTGTAACCGCTTCAATGCAGTGCGCTTGCCTCGAAGAAGACACATAATAAAGCTAGTAACAACAACAATAATGATTAACAATTAGCATTAACAATAGCGCTAATAATAATGATAATAATAGAGTTATAATAGAATTCTCGTGGATGTGTAAATAA